TATATATCTCACGAGTATCACTTGTCTTCCCTTTGCTCATTAATTTGCTCGACCGGGCGCCAGTAATGTCTCCATTCGTCCCTGTCGGGTGCTAGTGTAGCCCAATGGTGTCTGCTTGCTCCAGGAACACGAAGTGAGGCCCGTTATTGTTACTGTTTTTGGCATATATATATTTTTGTCATTTTGGGTCACATCTGGCTTTGCTCAGGAGTTACTCTAGCTCTGCACTCAGGAACTACTCTTGGCTGTGCACCTTATGGGATGCTGGGGACCGAACCTGGGTATGCCATGTTCAAGGCAAACACCCTACCCTGGCCCCTATATATATTGCTTTGTGGTCACTCCTCAGGGTTTGTATAGTGCTCAGGGTTTACATCTCCTGGTTCTGTGCTCATTACTCTCTTCTGTGGCTTGTGGGAATCATATACGATGCTGAGGATAGAGCATCCTTATAGAGGTTGGAAAGATAACTCAATGGGCTGATGGTCCCCAAACTGAAACTAAACTATGCTTTTGGAAGGCAGAAGGCTTAGTGAGGAAGCACTTGCCTTGTATGGGTGAGGCCTTGGGTTTGATCCCTGTAGCACTGCACTGTAGCACTTGTCCTCCTGTTGTTCATCGATTTGCTCAAATGGGCACCATTGTGAGACTTGCTGTTACTGTTTTTGGCATATCCAATACGCCACAGGGAGCTTGCCAGGCTCTGCCGTTTGGATGGGATACTTACTCTCGGTAGCTTGCCGGGCTCTCTGAGAGAAACAGAGGAATCGAACCTGGGTCGGCCGTATGCAAGGCAAAGCCCTACCTGCAGTGCCATCACTTCAGCCCCTTGATCCCTGACTTTGCAAAAATAAAATAAGGGTTGGGGAGATAGCTTAAGGGGCTGGAGCACATGCCTGGCATGTGGGAGTCTGGTTTTAATTTGGGAGTAGCCAGTAGCACCACTGGGTATGGCTCCAAAAACTAAAAACAAACAAACAAACCAAACCAAACCTTCCTTTAGAGGCAAAGACTGGGTATAGGAGGGAATGGAAGACTGGGCAAGGAGATTGTTTCACAGCCTGGGGGAGTTAACTTCAGGCTCTCTGGAGAGATTTGAATGTTTCCAGAAATACTGTCCACACAAGGCTAAAAATGCTGCATCCCAAAATTGTTATCACCTTGCAAGTGTGCATAAGGAACAAATTTTAGCAAGTACTTAATGACATGTGCAAAAGAACAGGCATGTGTATTTCTACCCCGACTACATTGAGGAGATAAGGAGAACATGAGTTAAGCAGTTCTTTTGGAAAACACAGGATGTGTACAACTAACTGATGGTAACTCATCACCCATGAGCTGCCTTCATGGAGGGTCTTCATTTGCTTAAGATGTTGGACATGCTGGTCCACCCCTGTAAGTTTTGAAGAATTTAACTTTTTTTTTAAAGCTCTGGATTTTTGGGTCACCCCCAGAAGTTCTGGGGACCTTGAGGTGCCAGAGAATTGAACCCAGCCTCCTGAATGCAAAGCACACACTCAAGTCCTTTGAGCTCTCTCTCCAGCTCCAAGATAAACTATAAACAATTTGAAACTGTAATTTCTTTAAATATTGCTGCTGCTGAGGTCTGACTTTGTTCAGTAAGCTAGAAAAATTATGTATTAAATTTGAACAAAGTCAGGTTTAACAGAAGAACTCATTCAATGTATGGTTTGAATGTGTTCATTCCTCAAAATAAATTTAAACAAAATTCAGACAGCCTAATCTTGATTTGATCAATAGTGTTTTGAAATGACTAGGAAGCTTTTTGAGAAAACAAACTCCAAGACCCCAAACTCCAAACACTTTCATTTTAGCTCCAATAAACTTTTTTTCCATCTTTCCCCCACAAAGAACATTTCTGGGCACAAAACAGAGTCATAATTGTTTAATTAGATACACTTTATATATCTGAACATAATGGCTCCCATAGAAATAAACTAATATTTTGTACACAAACTTTATTTACTGTGCCACATTCAGAATAGACCAACTTAAGCCAAGTGCAAACTGTTGTTACACCCCTGCTGTGTGAAGAGTTCCACTCCCACAAACACTTCATTATCTAGGATGACAGAACAAGATTAGACTAGACGGATAATTAAAATCCACAAGGCATGAACAAAGATGTATTTTAGACTCTGATCAAGAACTCTTCCCCAGTCAGGGTTGTAACTCGAACTAAGCCGAACAGTTAGTAGATCAGTTTTCTCTTTCACCCTGCTCCTCCGTGGTTCCTGGGGGTAGGAGCTAAGGATGCTCAGTGGTATTTTGAGAAAGGCATGGGGCCAGAATAATTCAGAGGAGCAAGAGGTCTGGAAAACTGACCGTCTGGCATCCCACTGTATGGAAAAACCCTTGGGTTCTCCTTGCTCAGAATACATTTGGTAGTTTTGGTGTTACACATAATTGATAGGGAATGTTAAAAGATCTTACAAAGGAGGTTGTTTTTCTTTCTTAGTGCCTGGAAATTTTTAGGTATTTCAAAGGGATCCATAAGAAACAATAACTTAATAATGGTAAAATAATTGCAAAATCTAAGAGTACATTTGCCTCTGGGTGGCGGCGTACAGAATCAAAACCAAATTTCTGGTTGGCTCATACATGTCCAATATATTCCATTGTCCTGTTCAGTCTAGCCACATATATGGGACCATTGTCATTTATTACTCCTTCCCTAATAACCTGCTCCAAAAGATGAAAGAGCTAAGGGGTAAATTACAGAGAGGGGAATGCTATCTTAGGAATTCCTCTAACTGAGATCATTACAGGAAAAGTAATAAAAAATGCCCTTGGAATGAAAAGGTTTTTTTTTATAAAATTCTAAGAGATAAATCAGGTTTATAAAGAATGAGCTGATATTAGTCTACTCTTTTGCCTCAAAATTATACAGACGAAAATTCCAAATAGAATGATCTTGTAATTCTATGCCACCTTATCTAGTCAAAATTAAAAAAAAAAAATGGGGGTGAGGTCCTTATACCTATATTATTGATGGTGATATTTGTGAATAGGTGGTTTTAGGAGTATTGTCTAAAACCTAACTGATCACTGAAAGGAAGTTTCATCAGGATACAGAAATCTCAAGAGAGATTCTAAATTATAAGGAGTGGTACTTTTGATTAGTTTGACATTTGTCTCATTCTCATCTTGAAATGCTAATCAGAGTTTCAGTTAGCTCTGAGCAACATTCAGCTACCTGATTTGTTGCTTAACCTTATGTAGCAAAAGTTCTTTCTCCTTGACTCTATTCTTTTTCTCAATTACAGCTCAACTGCTGAGGTGGTGGTTGCTACCCTAATAGGAGTCCTGATTCACCTGACTGATACAGGCACCCCAAACCTCATTTTCTTATTTGTCTACATGTCATACCTTTACAAAATTTGTATTTGGAGGCGAGGAGGGGGTCTCTAGCAGTTCTGGGAGGTCATCAGGGCCAGACCTGGTGGTGGTTGGGAGATCATCTGATACTGGACATGGCAGCCAAAACACTGTGCAGGCCAGATATATTCTAGCCTTTGAACTCCCTTTGAACCATCTCTTTGACCCTACTTTGCAGAAGTCTCCTCTTATCTTTGGGGTAAATGTCTGGAGAATGTTCAGGGAAATAAGAATAAGTTTATCCCAAAACCACTATAAATAGCATTTAAAGCTTTACCAAAGGTGGGAGAACAGACTTCTATGAAGAAATAAATAGACTTCTGATTAAAATTAAAGGCAAGTGTTTCAGGATACAAGTAAAAAGACATCGAGATGAATGAGCAGGACATGTGCTGATTAACAAAGCAGAAGAAAGGTATGGACAAAGGGTGTCAGAATGCTCAGATCTGGAGACAGACTAAGGAATTTTCTGGAGATTGAAATTTCATTTGAAACCAGTGCGGACTGTATACATCTGAGATATGGACACAGATAAAAGCCAGGGATAAGTTTTACGATAATTGAAATATTGGTCCATCTCTTGAAACTTTAGAGTTTTCCCTTCTGCTCTCATCAGCAGTTTTGGTTTGATAATGTACCAGTCATTAGGAATGTTAGCTGAGGACAAATAAACCTAACTCAACACTTCATAACAAAATGTAAAATGTCAATAATATTGTTACTGGAGTTTAAAATAACACTTAAAACCTGATGGTAAGAATCTAACAATATAAACCTAGGAATAAAATATATGTAATTTTATAATTCTGGAGGAAAATCTCTGAAGAGATTTTTAAAGAATATACAGGCATTTACATAGTGACTTACGTGCATAAACTCAGGTATACTGATGCAATTTTCCTACAAAAGTTTCTTATATTAGTGGAGAAAAAACAAAACCTGAAGTAGGCAAAACATGTCTCCCTCCTGCCCTCTACCTAGTTGGGATGGATACATTCCTTACCTTAAGTTAGTTCTGCCCATAGAAAGGTAAATGCTTAATATGTGGTCTTGTATGATACAGAATGACATGATAAAAATACAATAAATGATTTTGCATAGACTTATTTAAACAAATAAGCCACTAGTATTCTTGCTTCTGTTCTCAGTGAAATTTCATTAGTGCCAATGGTTGAGCATAGGACAGATTAGTGTTACATTGTGCTTCAATCAAAAATACCTAGGCTCACAGTAGTCCTAAACCCATACAGAAATCAGGAATTCCACATGCCTTTTGTTATTTTCCTTCCATGGTTTTAACACTGGTGCCAAGTGTTCAAATCAAATACAGATTTTGCCAAATATCAGGTGGATTGTGAGGGTAAGTAGAAGAGGAAGATTTATTACTTAGATGCAGGAATGGAACTTAATGAGCAACGTGAATACAGAGATCTACTTAGCAGCATACCTTTTCCTTCTTATCCTTCAGATATTCTATGGAAACCCACCAGGTTAAGCTCCAGTGGTTTACTTTTTTCATCCACCAAAATCAGTCTCATAATTGCTTGGATTCCAGAAAGTGAATCATGCCATGATTCAAAGAACTGTCTTTCACATAAACCTATGCGCACACATTGAGAAAATGATTTATTGTACATCTTTGCATTTCTTAAGGCATGAACAATGGCATACAGATGGAACAGGTTCTGAGAAGCATCACGCTGTTTTGACAAGGCCGGCACAAGTACACCACATCAAACAGACACTCGAAGTCTGAGCAGGTTGGCAGCCATGGCCCAGGAGCTCCTATGGTTCAGGGGTGATGCCGTCCGGAAACAGGACCAACTCATGGTTTCTATGTCATGTTGCTTTCAACTCTCTGCATCAGCTGTAAGCACCAGTTACAATATGTTTTTTTTTTCTTTACAAACTCTTCAAACTTTGGGTTTTATCTTCTGCTACTTGTATTCAGCTTTTTGAGGAGGGTGTGGATGTTGTTTAAGGAATATGGTTGCAGCAAAACAGAAAGGATCCAAAAGTGGTCAGGGGTCTTGTCTAATGCACTTCTGAGGGTCCATTATAAAGATGAATAGAAAAGCAAATGGTTGGTTTTCAGTCAACCCAGAAACCACGCGGAGCTCTAAGAAACATAATTGTGCATAGTTATTTATTCATTCAGAGCATGATATGTTGGCTAGCTTTACATTCCCAGTTTACCAAAGAACTGGGCTGTCTACTTTGCTAAACCCAGGGTCCTTTCGCAGTTCCCAGTAGGTGTCGTTAGAAACCCAGGCTTCTCTCTGATTGGCATCAATCACTTTTCTGTGAAAATATAAAATTCAACATTAGCCACCAATTACATGCAGGTGACCTACCAAGTGGCCTCTGCCCTGTCCATGAGCTGTGTGGGCATAAACAAGACTCTGCATGCCAATTCCTGTTCTATCTGTTGCTTCAAGACCACACCGATTTTTTTTTTAAGTAGACACAGGCTCATTTTTAGGTGTGCCAAATGGAAATGAGGAAGTTAGGGGGAGCAGGGATGAAGGCAGGAAAGTGATGAGTCCCAGGCAAAGCACAGACAAGTACTATAACTCAGAGCTTCAGGCTCAGACACACAAGACACGTCTTACATGGATACAGCCTTGGGAACTCTAAGAGCTTTTGCATGTCCCTGGCAAAAATTCCTTTTCTGATCAAAAGGGCCAGGCTTCCTTTTTTGTAAAGGCAGCTAGTCTATTCTGAGCTGTTTTGTCCATCTGGCTCTGGAAGGCAGCAAAGGGATTTAGAAACTACAGATTAATTTGTGTGATGTCCGTATAATCCCATGAATAGTCCTCTAGCCATAAGCCATGATCATATCACAGAGAAGCAACAGACAGAAGCTCCATGTGATCGAAAAAACAAATACTAATGAAGCCAGGATGAGCCTACATCAGGAGGTCCCACCTGGTCTCTGAGGGAGGGAACAGAGACAAGTTCCCGCCATTCTAAAAGGGGTTGCTGAAGGACAAAGAGCATTCTGGGAACCCCAGTCTTTTATACTATCCCCCAAAGAAAAGGGACTATCAAGGAGAATCGATATTCATGGTTATACATTTTGTATGTTTGTTTTGGGCCACTCCTGTACAGTGCTCAGGCCATACTCCTGGTTCTGTGCTCAGGGATCACTCCTGGTAGAGCTCCAAGGACCTTATGTAGTATCAGGGATGAAGCCAGGACTGGCCACATGCAAAAGGCAAACACCTTAATCTCTGTACTCTTTCTCCAGCCTACTTGATTACACATTTCCTACAAGTGCATATTCTGATCCAACAGTTTAATTGCCCAAAGTCAACCAAATCAGCGGCACTTTCTCCCTTTAAGCTCAACATACACGAAACTCGCCCTCATTTTCTTTTAACTTGGACTTTTGCACTGTTGGTAGCAATTCCTTGTGGCACATGAACTAGGGATGAGACACTATGGACTTACTTAAAAAATTTTGGTATATGTTCAAGGTTGTTCTCTTCCATGTATCGCCTTCGAGATCTCTGCAGTTCCTCTACTCTTTGTTTTTCTGCTGCTGCAGCTTCTAAATTTCCTTCTTCCAAAAATCTAAGCAGAAAGCAGTTCATCTTTCAACACAGTACCCAATTTTTATATAAAAAGAAAATCTCATTTACATAAAATGTCATATTGGTTGCTGTGAAGATAATCCAGTGAACAATGAGGGTTCTCATCCCCTCCCCCCACTCTGCCCCCTCGTCCCAGGCTGCCTTGGCCTGTCTAGGAAATAACATACTTTCTATATACGTGAATGGAAGTGTCATGTAAAAGAACAAAATGGCAAGAGTGAAAGGAGGTGTAGGATAGCCTTGAAGATTCTTCTGTTCTGTCTTGGATTCTACAGACTGAGTCTTTACAGAATGACAGAGAGTCCAGGTGAGGACAGTACTGATACTCCAGTCTGTGCTCTATACCTGGATTACAAAAGTGCACTTGTTGTAGACCACAGCATGGAGGATGATATCGGCTGTTCTCTACTTACTTTCCGATAGATTGAGAGGGAAGGTATTTTCCTGTTTAACTGGAGATAGTAAAAGTGATTTAAAAAAAAAAAGAGAAATAAAGTTGGGAAACGTTACAAAGGGCCACAGAAAGAAAGTAATTAGTAAATAAAAATTAGAAAAGGGAGTACTGAAGCTGAATTGAGAAAGAAAAAAAAAACCCAAACCTTAAGGTGCTTGGAAAATATCCCAATTTCAAAATGAGATTAAAATATTACAATGGGATACACATGACACAGGAAATTAACAGTGAGATATCATCTCATGCCACAGAGACTGGCACACATCAAAAAGAACAAGAACAACCAGTGCTGGTGCAGATGTGGGGAGAAAGAGACTCTCATTTACTGTTGTTGGAATGTTTGATTGATCCAGTCTTTTCTGAAAATAGTATGGGCATTCCTTAAAAAAAAAAAAAAACTGGAAATTGAGCTTCCATACAATCTAGCAATAACACTTTTGGGAATATCCCCTGGGGGTGCAAACACACACAGCAGAAACACCATCTGCACTCCTATGTTAATTGCAGCACTATTCACAATAACCAGATCTGGAAACAAACTGAGTGCCAGAGAACCTATGACCAGATAAAGAAACTACTGTACATCTTCACAGTGGACTACTATGCAGCCAGCAATAAAAGAAAATGAAGTCATGAAAAATGGATGTAGATGAAGAATATCATGCTGAGTAAAATTAGTCAGAAGGAGAGGTACAGACATAAAATGATTGACTCATTTGTGGGATATAACATTGTATATTGTATATGAAACATTGTATGACTGAAACCCAGTCATGAGCAATTTAATAACTGTATCTCACAGTAATTTGATATTAAAAAAACAGAAAAAAAATAAAAAACCAAACCACTGAGGAGTGTTTCTCTATTCAGTTTAAAAAGAATTCATAAATTTTCAGTCATTTGGTAAATTTTGGGAGGCTGTACAGAGCAGAAACTTTTTATCAAAATCATCTGTGTTATCTGTGCAGAATTAATCTTCTGTTATGATCATCTTTTGAGTACTGCTTTACTTACAGTATTAGTCTCAAATACTACTGAATTACATAGGGATGAATGAATGATTTGCTACAAAATAAATGATGGTGGTGAAAATATATCTCAATGGAACACACAAAGCCATACCACTCAAGGTCCACCTTAAATGCCACTGCCATGCTCACCTCTGATCTGGTCGGAATCGGGCATCTGTCGGTGGAAGGAGGTCTTTGAGTACAGGATCCAACTCATTGAGTTCAATAGCAAACCTGGTGAAGCCATAGTAGAGCTCATAGTTGGTTGGCATGGAACCTGGAATGAAGCCAGTGAACCACTGTGAGAGGGACGAGAGGCCCTTGGGACTGGAAGAAGCAGATTTAAATCACATGCTGCTGATTTAGAATCTGCTCCAACACTAAATCTGTAGTCATATGCATCAGATTATGATTTTTTAAGAGATCTGATAGCTTCTTGTTAGGTGGTATCTTTATTATGTTGATGAGTAAAAGTGACTGATTTATATATTTAATAAAATCCAGACTTTAAAATAAAACTTTGTACATGTATTTGTCTTCACTAACTGGCTAAATTATACCTTATCCTATTTCAGTTTTCCTATTAAATTGTCCAGAGGGTAAATAAACACAAAGGTGTTTAAGTACAAACAGTAAGGCTTCACCAGAGCAGCCAAAACATGATTCAGTGGCAGACACATTTGCCTCACATGCCCTGGATTTGATTCCTGCAATTTTTTCCCCCTAAAACACAATTTATTTCCTCTTAAAAATGAGAAAGTGCAGAACTAATCTTTGCTGGTACCTGTTTTTTGAGCCACAACTGGCAGTGCTCAAAGTTTACTCCTGGCTCTAAGCTGAAGTATCACTCCTTTTGGGGTTCAGGGTACTATATATGATGCCATAGATTGAATCTGGATCAGCCATCTGCAAGGAAAGTGCCTTACCCACTATACTGTCTCTCCAGCCCATACTGGTACCTTTTAATAAAATGGAAAGGATGAGCTTTGTATGCTTTGTTCATTATTATATTCTGAACTCCTAAAACAGAGTCTGTACTGTCAGTAAATAGTCAATAACTGATGAATGAGTGAAATTACCATTCTACTAGCAAGATATTTGAGCAGGCACTGAGTTCTCTTAGAAAATGAACAATTAATTTTAACGTTAAGGATTAGCTAACAAAACTCCAATGAAAATAAATGTCATGTGGAGACTTGTTCTTCCATTTACACTTGATAATCAATTACATGCTCATGTACTGCCAAAACTTTCTTGCTTGTTTCATTAACTGTCTTCATACTGCCACTTTTTGAGGCTCAAAGAAGAGCACTTAGTCTAAGTTTCTGAATTTCTGGATCATTGAAATGTGCTGGCTTCCCTTTGCTTTATTAAGAGAGGATGAATGGGTGAGAATTTGAGCTGGTACAGTTCAATGACCTAAAATATGTGACAGACTTATCTTGAACTGTGAAGGTTATATTTAGAGTAATTTTAATGGAAGCCCTATCTGTGACCACATGTTAGAGTGCAGGACTAAAATTTCAGGGTTTTTTGGTTTTGTTTTTTTCCACACCTGCTGTGCTCAGGACTCTGGACTCAGGGATCACTCCTGCCAGGGTTCTGGGGGTGCAAAGTATCAAACTCAAGTCAGTAGCAAGCAGGGCAAGTGCCCTACCAGCTGTATTATTGTCCAGCCTTTTAGTTCATACATATATATATATATGCATATATATGTGTGTGTATGTGTGTGTGTGTATGTATACACAGATACACACACATACACACAATCAAATAGTGAGGCTTCTGCAACTCTTAACTTCTAGAACTCTAAGTGCCTTATGTTTTTACATTCCCAGTCTCACAACTAAAGAACATGCTGATCTGTACAGGATCACCTGGCATTCCCTTTGCCTTCTGTCACCTATGGTGCCTGCCTCAGGGACACTCACCTGGTCTCCACACGCACTTTGCAGAAGGGGCCACGCCACAGTAGAGTCCCTCATGCCACTTCCCGAACAGCCGGTGCACCGCCTTCCCCTCCTGATCTATCACAACCCCCTGCACTTCATTCACATTAGAGTTCCAGTAATTAACCTGGAAGAAGCAGATTTCATGTAAAATAAATGAACCAGTCTCTCTCACAACACCAATCCCTGTCACTGTCTCATGAAATCATTTCTTACCTTGGCTATTCCTGTCATTTTCAGGAAACATCTCAGAATGTGTCTGTGGAGTAATGACTTGCTAAGTGCTAGCTGGTTTCACTTGGAATACAAGAGTGATCTCTATGCCATGTTTCAGAGCATGGGAGACTAATACAGAAGAGACACTGTTTCTGTGTCAATAACCCAGTATTCTATGTTAATAACCCAGTACAAATATTCCCTTAGATCCCCCATCTCAACATCTGCTTCTGCTTGTGGATTGCAATGAATTTTACTGGTAGCACCGTAGAAGTAGCTCGTGGGGAAAAAAATTTCACGTTATTAAATGTGGCTAAATCCAAGGTCTTAATATCTTCCAGTCATGCTCCTCGCAAGAGGTGCTATGTCTGTAGATTTCATGTCAATCCTCAAGTAAATGGGGCTATCAAATTACCTGTCTAAGGGAGTCTAAGCCAGAGGGTCCCTAAGTTATCTGGCCCACTGCTACCTTTTCAGAAAAAAAATAAAAACGAAAACAAAAAAAATAACCAAAAAAAAAAAAAAAAGCATCCAGCCTCCCCTCTCCTGGAAATCTTAAACCAGAAGCTCCCCTAAACTGCACCTAATGCTATCCTTCATCTTCCAGCAACCCCCAGGGGGCACTACTGCCCAGTTGATGCCACAGTATGTCTTGGCCTTTGCAGTGACTTCCAACCCAAAGCAGGCTGCTATACTCTATGAGGTGCAGTCAAGGGGCCAGGAAGGGAGAGGAGGCCACTTGGATGTTCAAGCTGCCTCGTACCCCCACCCCCATGGGGGTGTGAGGCCTCACAGTGCGGGAGAGTTGGAAAGGAGACAAAGTGAGTGGGCCCTGGGTCAGGGCTGGTTTCTTTGCATCACCAGATTTCTAGTCCCGAGTTCTCTGCTCACCACAGAGCCAAGGAGGTTCTGACAGATTTGTCAAAGTGCAAGAATAAAACATGCTTTGATTGCCTGCAGGCTTGATTTATACTTTTTAAATATTTGCACACCTAGCATAGGGCCTTCCATTTGTACTCCTGCCCTGAGCTCGGTAAATGTTAAAGGCAGGTTTCAAATGTAACAAACTAAATGCACTTGTGGACTGCTCTAGCCCAGTTAGAACAAATAATGATCATGGCTTTTCTGTTCTGAGTTAACGAACGAATCAATAAAAAGACAAGGAAAAACAAAAAAAGGGGGGAAAAAAGCCTAAAATGAAATTAAATAGTCAAAACTAGCATCACCTTTCAATAGGGCTCAAGATGAGTCTTCTGTTGTAGCGGTTGTTTACTTTTTGGTTTTGAGATGCGGGTAATGGGGGTCAGGGGTTCCCACATGTGAGACAAGTGCACTGCAGCTAAGCCACACTCAGGTCCCCGTCCTCAACAGGGTTTGACTAAAAGAAAATTCTGAGTTTTCAGATTTAACTACATGGGAATGAGATCAGGAGTGGATAAAGGGGGTGGGGGGCGTTTCTGTCCTAGCATGAATCCTGCAGCACTACTACGAAATGTGGGGTCAACGTGTAGCTTCTTCAGACCAGAGAGAGGGGTGCTGGAGGTCTGCAGGCATTTCTATCCTAAACAGTTTGTCTTGTGACAAACAGTGACAATTTTTGTTGAATCTATTTGGATATAACAGCGGCAGAGCTGGATCAATGAGAAGTGACAGACACTGACCATCTGCATGCACCTTCAAAAAAATGACAGCTGAACTATACTGAGTTCTCTAAAATAAGATCACCTAAATAAACTGTAACCAAGCAGGAAGATAAGTAGAAATATATCCCAGAAGAATTGTTATAGACAAGACATTTGTCTGAATTTTTACTGAATGAACTGATTGGCTAACTCAAAAAGAAAATGCTACAAAAGGAAAATATATATGTATATATAATACATTTTGAGATGCCCCTACACATTCAGAAGTCTACATGCCTTGAATAACTCCATCAGCTGGTTCTACCTTCTTTTTTTTTGTCATTAAGACAGCATGATTTACAAAGCAATTCATAGTTGTGTTTTAGTCATACTGTGTTCCAGCACCAGTCTTGCCACCAGAGTCTTTTTCCCTCCACCAGGGTCCCTAGGTCCCACGCCCCCTCCAACCCAGCCTGTCCCTCTGACAGGCACATTTTTAAAAATAGGATTTTAAAAAACTGAATCACCATAAGACACACAGTTACACAGTTGTTCGTGATTGAGTTTCAACAACTCCAACACCCATCCTTTCACCTGTGCACATTTCCCACTACCAATGTACCCTGTTCCCTTCTTGCTTGGCCCTGACAGGCACATTTTTTAAATGTTTCCACTTAGCAAAAATATCCTTAAGGATTACAGACTTTGCTGCTGTTTAAGGTTGTAACTGCTTTCCTTCTTCCCTGAGAAGTATTATATACTATTTTTTTTGCTGATTTAAAATATTATTTACCTTGATAAATGTGAGTTTGCAAATGCAAACACTGCTTTTGGTATTTCTAATGGTTATTTCTCCGTAATGTTCTATCCATCTCCTTCCACTGAGAATGTTGTGTATGCATGTGGTGACCTTATTCCACACATAGCAATCTCCATACCTAGTGAAGAAGACAGCACCGATTGAAAACAAGGACAGTCACAGATATTAATGCTTCTACCAATGAGAACAACTATTGACAAAAGCTTCCTCTCCATACCCCCACCCCAGCCCAATTTTCCTCTCATTTATTTTGTGAGAGTTTCAAGTCAAGTTTGTAGTCAAGACTAATTATGCCATGATTCACTGATTTAAGGAACATTTAGAGCTTTTTGTGAGCAGGATGTTAAAACTCTCAAGCTGAGCCAGAATAGATATCTTGCTTCCTGCTTTCCTGGAGGGCGAGAGGGACATTCAGAAAATATAAACAATTCCTGATTCCTGGTGGCTGACTAGCAATGATGCAAAAGTCATCATTCAGTAGAAACTATATTTCAAATTCTGATACTTTCTCCAGGCTGATAGGCAGTAAGGCTGGCAAGACTGCTAACCAGTCACCTGCTTATGAGGGTAAACAACCAATATTCTATACTATTTTTTTCCCTTTAGAAAAGTAATAAAGAACTTGTATGAGATATTAATTCAATACATTATTACAAAATAGGTTTTGTGTTAGATGATTTTGCCCAGCACTACAGCAAGTGTTCTGAGCACGTCTGAAGCAGGAAAGGCTGGGCCCTGATGCATTCTTTATTTTGGTGGGTTTGGGGTCACACCTGGCAGTGCTCAGGGCTTATTCCTGGCTCTGTGCTTAGGAACTCCTGGTGGTGCTTGGCAGGTGAGTGGAGGGGTAGGGGGAGACCGTTGGTTGGCATATGAGGTGCCGAGGATTGAACTGGGGTCAGCTGCACTGCAATGCAAATGGTTTAACCCCTGTACTATCTCTTTGGTCTTTTAATACATTTTCATATTTACAAAGTTTTCAGTTTACAATAGTTTTATCAGGTCCTCATCCCACCAGAAATAAAGGAAGACCCGTACTTTTTTTTTTTTTAGTTGCTTTTGATTTGGGATCACACCAGCGGTGCTCAGAGCTTACTCCTGCGTTTATGCTAAGAAGTCATTCAGGGGACCATATGGAGTGTTGGGAATCAAGCCTAGGTTGGCTGTGTGCAAGGCACATGTCCCTCCAATTGTACTATTATTCTGGCCCTAGATCTGTACCTAGAACCTATTGGGGACGTATCATGAAAACATAGAAGGGATCCTCAGGCTTTAGATCCTCAGGAATGTAGCCAGGGAATGTGGATATCAAGATAACTTTCTAGAAAAGGTGGAGTTGGGTCTAGACCTGAAGAATGTCTAGGAAGGCACTACAGACTGTGGGAAAACATCAACAAAGTAAAGAGACCAGAAGAGAACGTGATGAGTGCTCTAGTGAATAGCAAGGTGCTCTAGTGAATGGCTGTGTTGGAGGCAAGGCTGGAAAGGGATAGCGGGACTGGGCTGGAAGGATCTTCAAGACAAAGCAGTGATTCTGGATTGAACCAGACTTGAAGATTCGGGGCCAGAGTGGAAAGAATCAAGGGAGGAAAGAAGCATGATATGGTGTACCTGTAAGAGAGACTCCACTGACTAGATCATTTCCTACTATAAGTAAAGCCAAAGACATGAAAAAAATCACTGGGATAAGACTGATAAGCACAGATGGAAAAGAAAGTTACAGAATTTCGAATAAGAAATGAGATGACAGGGCTTCAAATCACTTTTCATGTTAGATATGTATTTTCAAATAAAGTTATTTCAAAACAAATATTTCTAAGTCTCTGAAACAATGAACTGGTATGATATTGGCATAGAGGCCTGGAAAAAACAAGTTTGTGAATCATGAAATTATACTGTGTAGGCCTGGGAATCCCTCTGCGTTCTCACCTTCTTCCATTTCCAACCAACACCAAATTCTGTTGTTTGAATATACAAAAATAAAACACAATCAGCCAAACCAAGAAAGAAATAAAACTTCAATGAAATCTTTTGCCTCAATGTAAACTGCAATGAATTCGAAAAGATTTGTAGGAGAGATTCTCTAGGAAACAACCAAAAAAGCATACCATAACTTTTCTTTCGAAAAATATCTTATACATTCAAAATAGCCCTTGGATCTAACAATTCGAAAGCAAACTGTAAAAATAAAAGAGAAAATAAGTGGCTTAAACATCTTTTAAATAAAGTGGCAAGGAGATCAGAGCCTGGGACAGAGAGCACCTGTTAGGAAGAAACCAGGAAGAAGTTTTGATCCTGAAGCCATTATTTTCACCAAGAAGCAGGATCTAGTCTTTACTTTGGGTGAAGTGAACAGATGTGTTGGCCACACCCTTGGCACATTCTCAAGTTTCAAGTAGCCAGTTCTGACTTGGAAACGCTGGTAAGATCCAAAAGAAGAGGAGAGCCACTTACCTTGGAAGCACGACGTTCAATGTGCCCACTGGCAGGATTTCCATCGACTTGCCCCAGAACTTGTTTTTCCATCTGATATCTAAGAACACAGGCAGAGGGCATGACATAGATACTCTGATGCCAACCACTAATTCCATGACCATCATGCAGCATTGGTATTACACTTCCCATTTTACAAAGAATTTTTATAACCTTACTAGGTTCTACATTGTTGATTTAACCCAAGAAGTTGCTGTCTAAGGATACCCCAAGGTGTTTCAAGGACATATATATGTGTGTGTGTATATATATATATACACACATATATAAAATTTAACACATACTAAGCTTCACCTTCATATATGTTCCATGTTTGTTTTCAATTAGCACTAGGGAAAACAATATATCTGTGTAATGTTCTTAGCCACACCTACACTGTATTCTGAAATCAGATAAACCCTCCTCTATGTTTAATTAAAGTACTGCAAATGGCACACTAGAATTTAAAAATGAGATGTATAGTAAACATAATTGCTGCTATGGCAATATCACATGTTTATACACATTCTTATTTAAGAATTAGATATTTAAGATATTTAACCCATACCTATATAGTTAGGTAAGAGTTATGAGACAGTGGGATTCACTTAATGAACATGTCCCTATACTCATTGTTAACTATGGCCCAGAGGGACAGGAAAGATGCTCAAAGGACTGGAGTGCATGACTGGCATGTGGGAGCCCTGGGTTTAACCCCTGGCACCAATGGTCTGCTGAGCACCATCCCCTGCTGGGCATATGGCCTGAATCCAGCACTGCAGGGACTTTATGTTACTTGTAAAGGTTCAGGTTTACCTGGGATTCCATGATAAATTCTCTAGCCATATCCTGACAAGTTAAAAGAGCTTAGGACTGCCTTTCCCAAATTTCTGATGACCAAAAGATGAGAGTTTTTTTTATTGTGAAGTTACAGTAACAGTGCAGTGCCATGTTGTGTATTTCTAGATGGAGGAAGTACATTTGAGAGTCACCCTGTCAGCAGTGAGGCAACTTTTGAAAGAAAGCAGTAGGAGCTATTTGTACTTAATGGTTCCATGGACAACTACGTATTTTTTGTTCTTTCTTCAGGACTCAGGAAACTTTTTCTATTAGGCATGTTTGTAATATTGAGATAACAAACAACGACTGAGTCAGCAGAGACTTCAGTACAAACTCTAAACTGAGACCAGAAATCTGCAATGTTTGTTTATCCAAATACTCTGTGACCACAGAGAAGTCAGAGGTCTTTGTATGTGCCCTCAAGAACCAAAGCTTCTCCACCTTACACATGCAGAGAGCAAGGTGCAACCAGGTAAAGACAGACCAAGCTGGCATTGTCAGCTTGGAGCTGTCCTGCTCCATAAATTATCACATCTCCTGAGTGGCATGATTTCATTTTCACACCAGAAAATCTAACTTCTCCAACTGAACTTCATAACAAATACCAACACTCTCCAAGTTCTAAAGGCATAAATGGAAACTAAAAACAATATATCTTTGGAATCTGGAAACTTTTTCATAGGCCGACTAATTGAATTCTTAAGTTGTAATTGAAATACAAACCTTGCCAAAACACAAAATTCTTGGATTCACAGTGACAGGCAGAAATGGGTGGATGATGGCTAACCTGGTGATTAAAACAAAAAAAAAGACAGTGATATGTGTTCTAATTTTCATATAAACAATAATTTTATACCATACATTGGCTACCCCCAACTAAAAACCATTCATTCATACATCTCTCTTAATGAATTATTCCCTAAACAAGTATATGTCAGTTATGGAACCTTTAACTTGGAAGAATCTATGCGTGTGTGTGTGTGTGTGTGTGTGTGTGTGTGTGTGTGTGTGTGAGTGCATTCATGCAGATTTAGAGAAAATTATATAGGTAAGCTAGGAGAGTTTCTGGTAACTGGTACCATAATCCACCTCTAGTTGATATTTGTGTTACATGCAAAAACTGTTTTTATTATCAAACTGCCCTCAGACCTATGTGAAATCTCAGTCAATCTAGAGAAACTTACCTGTTCTGAGAAAAATCGGAATCCCTTGTCCTCTCTAATGCACTCATAAGTCTCCCCGAGGACAGGGTTGAATGGCTTGCTTCCTGCTCTGAAATAGGTGGAGCAGTATCCTGAAACCGCAAATGCAGCAATAAGAACCTGTTAAAACATTTAAGAAAGAAAAATAATGTAGGAGAGACACTTTCAGATCTGTTTGTCCTTTATTCTTTCAAATTACCCAACCCCTGTCAATATAATGGCATCAGAATTTTTATTTGCATAGATTTTTTTTCATAAGCTCACAGGAAAAAAAGAAAATGGGATAAAATTCCTTACATGGGAACCAGCAGGCAACTGGGGATTAGAAATTCTCCATTCATTTGACCACAGGATTTCCTGAGAATCAAAAAGTTCAAGGTTCTGTGTTTCTAGGTTATGCTTGAGTGCAAGTGAATTCTGGGTGCTGGAAGGCTGGGTGGGATGGGTGCGGGGCAGTGCTCAGAGAGCAGGTTAAGTTTCTTCAGTTAGGAGGAGGGAGGGGCTGGGGCCAAGCACCAGCAGGAAACTACTTTCTCAGACCCACCTGCCTGACCACCTGGGCCCTTTTGGTATTAGCTGATGGATGAAGCCAGGATACTTTAAACATGTAAAGAGCAGAGATATGTCTGTCCTAATTTTAGAAACTCTCTGGACTAGGTCCTGGCTTAATAGTCTTCAGAAGTTGCCACCATTTGGGATCATGACAATGAGTGGGAGGGTGCAAAAAATTTGTTTAAAAATGAAGTTATAATTACTTTACTTCTTATGTATATGTGTGTTGAGAGAGAGAGAGAGAGACAGAGACAGAGAGAGAGAGAGAGTGTGTGTGTCTGTGTGTGTGTGTGGTGCTCCCAAGTGGTTCCCAGGTGGTCCTGGGACTCCATCAACAATTTTCAGCCAACCCAGGCTAACAGGGCAGTGCTGCTCAGGCCCTCAGGTGCTGGGATAACCTGGCCCACCTGGGTGAAGTCTCAGTCACACTAAAAATGTATGACTTATTATCAATACATGCTTGATATGCATACCTATTTTATAGATCTGGGGTCACTTTAAAACTTCTTGGGCAAAAAGGGGTTGCAATGGAAGAGTTGGGATTGTGTGTGTGTGGGGGGGGGGGGCAGCAGGAGATGCTCAGGAGTTATTCCTGGCTCTGCATTCAGGAATCGCTCCTGGCAGTGCTCCAGGGACCATATGGGTTGCAGGAAATCAAATCTGGATTGAACACATGCAAGGCAAGCACCCTACTCACTAGACTATCTCTCAGCACCAATGAATGGGAAAGAGTTTAAGAAGTCCTGTGCCAAAGGAATCTGGAATTTTTGGCCTCATCTAAGTAATGCAGATGGGCTTATTCCTCTCTTTCCTATCCAGTGAGAATGCCGGGTGAAAGCCAAATATGCCATGATGATGTATTCTGGCGCAGCCCAGGCCTCGGGCTCACATATCCCACCATGTATTACCATACGTTCATAGGGGTCATCAGTTTCTGAAGCTTTGTCCAGAAGCTCGCTGTACTCGATTTCCTCACAGAGATGCTGCAGAGTGTTGAGTGGCTCATTTAGCTCCACTGGCATGGACACTTTGGACAGATCTTTGCCGATGTTGTTCCTCAAGATGTTCCACAGGTTAATGTTACTGGTGTCAGGACAGGGGGCGGGCAGGCATGTTCGACGTCCGTTCCGGAAGGCGCCTCCAGTGAGCTCTCCATTCAGGACTGAAAGAAGGAGAGGGACACGAATCAGAGCAAAAGACACTTGGCTCATCTGACATCATAAAATCCAAGAGGAAAATAACACTTTCAGATAATTCAATGGTGAAACATCTCTCAAGCCATCAGTATATTCACTTCAGAGTGAACGAAATTATTTCCAGACAAGGTTGCCAAAAAATGCAAAAATTATTACTATAAAGTTTTGTTAAATGAGGTGTTAAACTGAGGTAATATTCAAGACAAGCCATGTTAAAATAGTAAATATATTTAATAAGAAGGATTCAAACTTTTGTTTGGAGAAACAAAACTCTTTGCCTGTCTAGCAACTAACAGGTTTTCAACCACTTTAATATGCTGATTATAGAAAGATAAAATTTATGAAACAATCAACTAAAAAGTATCAGTTAGGGGGGTCATTTTATACTCAAATTTGTAATTTGGCATGTAGACAGAACAACTCAGAAGCTCAAATGATACATACTTTGCCGAGAAATGTTATCTGCAACACTGGTATTATCTTCAGATATATTATCACTAACATCACTGATGTAAGACTCATCATCTGAAGCCTAGGAAAGGATGAACATGGGAAGAATCATTATTCTTGATCAATCTTGAAAATTCAGAAAAATCAAATAACTAAAAACAAAGCAAGATATTGCCCAAATGAGAAGTACCAAAAGAAAATGTTGTTGGAAAATGTGTAATCAACAGTTGTGAGCTTTCCATGAGTCAGACATTAGGAGGGTTAGAATGCAGCCTTGTCGAGAACTTCCTGTCTTCTTCGGTGTGTAGAAGCTGAGGGAAGTCAATATAAGACCAGAAATGCTTCAGTACAGCACAGTAAAAACGTGCCCAAAGGAGGCACTATGCCTTCCTCTAGAGGAGATTGGAGGAACTGCCCCGGGGAAGGGTGGTAGAGGGGGATAGGAGCTGATTGAAGGAGAAAGCAGGTGTTAGGAGGGAAGAGACACAGGAAAAAGTGAACCAGTGCAAAGGCTGAGGTAATATTTACTCTAGAAATGCTAAGAAGTTGAGTGAATGTGAAGAAAGTGGGAAGAGAATGAAGATGGTTTGATGGCAAAGGACTTTTCAGATCAACATAAAAAGTTCACTCTAATCTTAGGAGTTATTAAAGGCATGGGGATAATGGTAGTCATATCTAGTTTTCCAGAAGTTACCTGGCCACTTCCCCTCAGATAACAGGGCTGTATAATTTCTGGGAGGCTAGGGAGCCCTGTGGCTCTCTCTTTTGCCACCTGGGTTTGGTGGACTCGGGCCGCTCCCCTATCCGGGGCAGCCCATGCCATGGGTGGACTAAAGAGGAAGCGAGGGCCAAGCTGGCTGGTTGATCAGATGCTGCTTATTCCATTCTCCCCATGCGCCTGTTCCAGTCTCACTAAGCTCCCCATTCTAGTCTCATGCTGCCCCTCATTCCTGTCTCCTCCTATCTCTCCTGCTCATCTCTCCACTCTCCGTCTCGCAGCCCAGTCTCTCTCTCCACGTGCCTGCTCCTGCATCCCTCCCCTACATTCTTCTCCCTCTGTTTCCCTTGCTAGTCTCTCCTCGCTCCATCTTGCTGCCCTGCTCTCTCACTAGTCTCTCTCCAACTTCCCGCTTTGGGAGTAGCCAAGTCAACATATCAAAGGCCCTTCCTGATCACCCATCAGGCTCAAGGGTGGAAATACTGCCTAGGGGTGTTTCTCCTCTCCTTAGTCCAATAATTTAATTAACATCTTAATGAACATCTTAATTCTACTTCTTAATATTAGTTATTTTGTATGGACACAGTAAGAGACACATTGAGCTTGTAGGGTAGCTCTCCTGGGGACATCTCACTATAGATCTCAGACTATAGTGCTCAAGATGGATTAATCATTCCTAACCCTAGCAGGGTCCGAATCTAGTTACTACTTTTTTGGATCATGACAGAATTTGTTTATGATCATGCCAGGTCCATTTTGATGCCAGGGAAGCTCACTGCTTGCCCTAGGTCCATCCAGTCCCTTGTTGGGACCCTGCTTTTGGGGTGCTAGGAAGTAAGGGAAACTGAGGCTTAGGTAGAGAGAACAGATGTCCAGAGATAATATTATCTGGAGTCAATTAATTCCCAAGTTACAAAAGCATAGCATTAACTGTCTTCCTGTGTCCATTCAAAAAGGACACTGCTCTGAATTAACTATGCAAAGGACTTAAGGAGAAGAGAAAAAACAATATTTACAAGTCAACAGAGCACAAAGAAAGAAGTTACAAGTAAACAAAGAGGAATGGGAACACTGTGATGGGAGTAACCCAATAAACTTAAGCTCCCTGTGGCAAGGCAGAAAGGACAAACCAGTGTTATCCCACATTACTTACACCTGAGTAAGAAATACTGACATATTAAGAATTTGGAGGCAGGGGTTGGAAAGACAGGACAGGAATGAAGACACTTAGAGCTAACCACCCAGTAGCATGGTTAGCTGAGAAATCCGGGGCCTTTCCTGATCACCATCTCGGAGCCCACCCCTACCCAAAAATGGTTGTAAAGAAATAGTTGAGAGTCTGGTCTGAAGTACAATGGATAAAATCTGGCACCTTACTGAGAGTGGGGGAAGGAAATTTAGGGACAGGAGAAAATCAAGAATTCAGCCACTCTTGGCATGAGAAAAAAATGAAACTAAAATAAAACAAATTAGCAGCAGTATGAAATCAAGAGACGACATATAGCAAGAGGAGTTCAAGATCGCTGTTCAGAGAACAGGAGAAACAGCATCTCTACTGCAGGTAAGAAGGTTGCTGATATCTATTCATTTTCATTGCAATGAAAATAGAGGGACAAGAGAGACAGTGCAGGTGGTAGGGCACTTCCTTGCATGCTGCCAACCTCTTTCCATCCCTGGCACAACATATGCCACCCCCCCCAGCACCAATCCAGGAATAGCCACCGAACAGCTCAGAGTGTAACCTAAACCCCCGCATCCCCACCTTCTCCCCGCAAAAGGAAATAGTACTGTATTTTTTTTTCTAAACCAAAAATCCAAAACATTCCTATCATAAAAAGTTAAAAATTAATGAGAGTGAAGAGGTAACCTTGAAAAATCATCCGTAACCCTGTCCTCTAAAGGAAATCACTTTTAACATTTGGTGGGTATTACTCTCATTTCAAAGTGCCTGTAAAGACAGTGATATATATATTTTTAGATTCTGGAGGGAAAAAAAGATCACTTTACATATTGCTTTATTGTGTTCTGACTGCACTGCCATTTCTATCTTGGAATGGTAATAAGTTTTACCATACATTAGTAAAATAGGGAATTTAAGCAGAATTCAAATGGTTTCTAACTATTTATTACTATTGACAATACTTGGATGAACTCAGTTTTTTAAGTACATTTCCATGAATTTATCTGGTAATTTCATTAACACTTAATCCTAGAAATGAAGTGGTTGGGTCAAAGTGCTTACTTTGGGCTTTTAGTCAAATGTTGCCAGATTGCTCTCCTCAATGACTATATGTACTAGCTTATTCTCTCCAGTAGTAAATGAGAACACCCATCTTTGCACATGCATGTGTGGGGAAGTACCACATGTGGGTGTTATTGATTTTTTCCCCCGAGGGTCACTAACTAAACAGAAAATAATTTTTATTAAAGTTTGATCTCATCTTTTGGGAAATTTCTAATTTTATACACAATGTTCAATGTGTTGGATAGGCTGCATGCTTTTTCAGTTTGCAATTTAATTTTCATCATGATTTGTGCTTTTTTGACACGGGAAAGTTTAAATTTTCAATGTCATAAAAATGATCAGTCTTTGCCTTTAAGGTTTCTGGCTTTTACGGCTGACACTCTGCAAACTGGCGTTCAGGAGAGGTCCTGGGTCATATGGAGGCTCACATGCGGGACAGACGGTTGCATGTACAATGAATCCCAGGAGTTTTCACGAGCATATCAAAAATGCTGGCAATGGAGAAAAAAGTCTTTTTCTGATTCCTATTTTCCCACTGTAACTGGTTTCCAGTTTCTGTAGATTGAAGTGTACACCACCAGGTTCAGGAAAACTACCTTCTTAAGCTTGATAGAAAAAGAGAGTAATTTAAATGTTTCCACTTGATTTCTTTGAAGAAAAGAAGAAAAGCCAATCATACACAAACTAACTGTTAAAGGAAAAGATATCCCTGTCCAAACCCAATCCAAATTGTTTACTCTTTGAATAATAAAGGAAATAAAGTAGGATGATGTTTATCCCACAAAACAATGAGGAAGTTTATTTTCTTCAATTTCCAATAGCTCCACAGGCAACAGGATGATCCGATATCTATGTCGATGTACACAGTCACTGTAGCCTGTGAAGGAATTTAACAATGCTGGAGGCTCTGGGTAAGATCCATATCCTCGTTTGTGTGGGCAAGAGCTGAGACTGAGCAGTCTGACCATGCTCCACTCATGTTATCCTGTATCCGAAGGAAGGCTCTGCAGTATTATAATGAACAAAGCTAACACATGCTATTTTCTCCACCACGATCACTAAGTCCTGAGCCAAACATTCCTTTAAATGTTAGGGAATCAAAAGAGTTGGGAATTTTTTTTTCCCCTCTAAAACGAGACCAGGTCTGCAGTGTTGCAGAAACAAATTTAAAATTAGAGAAACTGGTTCACTGCAGGATCAAGAGGAGAATTCATTAAAATATTTTTCCCCCTTTTTTGTTTTGTGGAGCACAGCTAGCCATGCTCAGGAAACTGTGCTCAGAGATCACTCCTGGTGGGGGTCACGGCAGAGACTGTGTTAAAGGCAAGGCAAGTGCTTTACCTGTCATACTGTCTTTCTGGCCCTGTTGAAACACTTTTTTTGTTCTCTTTCCCTTCTGTGCTGTGGTTGTGATGATGGGCTGGGATCACACTCCTCTGGTCTAGTGCTCACCCACATTTGGTGCGTGCCAGGCTTTTTGGTGCCATCAGGGCTCATCAAACAGCTCCTCTGGCATGAGCCGTGATGCCTGTAAGGCATTGTGAGGCATGGAGCACAAGTCCCATAGCTGCAAGGCAGGTACCTAGCTACAGATCGTCCCCAAGCCAAGGAGAGCACTTTTTAAATGAATGCTAATTAAAGGCACTAAAAGGTATCACTCAAAGCTTTTCTCTGTTGTGGAAAATGATAGTGTAAGATACTGCATGTCCTGCTGTCTCTCAGACTCATCCCGTGTAACGGGATTGCAAACATTCCTTCCTTCCTTCAGGCAGCAGGGACTGAGGACTGGCTCTGGGCTCACCAGAACTTCTCTAGTGCTAGGGTCCCAGTGATATCTGAGGCTTCCAGGAACTTGCAGTCTATGGGACAGGAAATATATGATATGCATGTTTTGTTAGCAAATGAAAAGCATTAAGGAAGCAGCAAGGCAGGAAGAAGACTGTAAGAGATGAGTGGGTCACTGTATAACAGCAGCTGGACAGCTAACAGGCTTCCTAAAGGTGACCGACAGGAGACGGGGGTGGCCAGTGAGGCTTCGAGCCTGTGGGTCTCTGGCAGAAGTGCTCGAGCCTGGTACAGAGTCAGCGCTGGAGCCAATCTCCTTCAGGAGTGGAAACGC